AAACACTTGTGAACAGAGGTGGTTAAAACTAGCTTTCAGACCAGGCTGCATCTCTCTGGTCAGAATGACAAGATGAGAAACTAGTAGTAGGCAACAACCTTGATGTTCCCCTGCTTTGTTTTTCACTAGGCTGTGTGTGGCAGCACTTTCGGCCAATAACTTCTGCGACAACCGGGAGGCACTTTATGGTGTTTTTGATGGTGACCGCAACGTGGAAGTGCCGTATCTGCTGCAGTGCACAATGAGTGACATCTTGGCAGAAGAGTTGCAGAAAACTAAAAATGAGGAGGAATACATGATCAACACTTTCATCGTTATGCAGAGGTGAGTCTTGGATCTGAAGCCTTTTTTACCTTGTGTATGCTCACTGGACAGTTTGTTCACTTTCTGGTCAGACACCTGCTCATTTCTTCCTTCCAAAAAATGAGAGAAAGGGGGGAAAAAAAGCCTTGGTATCTGGCTACAGTGTTTTCTTTTGTGACTTGTTTTGTTAATATTACCCTCTGTTCTTTTCAGATATGGGGAGAAAAACCCCAACACCTCCCCACCCAAACAAAAAAAACCCACCCCGCCTGCAGAGTTACTAAATGCTCATTACTAAGTGGTGGGTGGAGGTTTACCCCTTTTTCTGGTATCTTCTTGAAGTCTTATGATTCACAGTTGACCGTAACCAAATCAGTGGTATGAATCTCTTAATCATCTTATAAACTTCCTTCTTACTACTGGCTGCAAAGCCTGGGCTGATCCTTTCATTTCTGTGTACCAATTCAGGTTATTTAAGGCTACACAAATATTTCAAACATGAAGTCTGAACTCCTTAGAAATGCCCATCTCCTGTCATCTCTTTGGGCAGGACCCGTCCAAAGAGATTGTGACACCATAGCTGTGAGTGCAACAGTAGTGTTGTGTAGTGGTTTGGAAACCTGCGTGCATGCCGTTCTTGATGGAAGAAGAAATTGTGCCTGGGGAGGCACGGAGCAAAGGAGGAGTATGGAGGGAATTGACCAAAGGAGAATGAAGAGGTCAGGGAAAGAAAGGAGAAAGCAAATAAGCAGCTTGGAGGCTGAGGAAATGGATCAAGTTGAAAGTAACATTGCTTATCGTTCAATTGCTGCACGCTTGGACAGGAAAAATACTCGAGTTCTGATAATTGGGAAAGATGCAGAAGCAGTAGGGTGGTATTGAACCTTACAAACACGAGAGAAAATCCTTCCTTCCCATAATTGCTTAAACAGTGCCTCAGACTGGTAGCTGAGAAGGTGGTTGCCATATACTTAAAATATTCAAAAATAATAACAAATTTGAGTATCGAAAGTACTTATTAAGTGGTTTTGTTTACTAATGCAATTTCACGGGAATGTGGCATTCCTACAAAAAATGCCTTTTTTTTTTTTTTTTTGGTCTCAAGTGAAAATAAGCTAACCACTTCTTTAGACAACCAGAAATAGTATTCATTCCAGTCGCGTTTAAGCATTCATTGAGGATTCTTACAGATGATGTGCAACACTCCTGAAGTGTATTTTTAAAACATAAAATAAAAAAGCACATTGAAGCTTGGTTACAAATTTACTTGTGCCTTCCGTCCCCAGGATTTTGAATCAAAAGTTCTTGCCAGCTATAGCTAGCCTTAATATAAATTTTAGTAACCTCCGTATTTAGCTTCCTAATTACTGTAATTCCTAATTACTATGGGAGAAAGCCCTGATAAACAAGATACTGGGAAGGATGGATGGTTTTTCACAGTCTAGTAGCGAAATGAATTTACATTCTAATGACGGGATTCTGAAAACTTCAGTTTTATCGACAGATTTTTACTTTTTTTTTTTTTTTTTTTACTATGACTCCTGCTAAAACAGCAGTCTTAAATGTTTCTAAGAACCTAGTGAACAGGTTAGTAACTGACAGGATAAATGAAGTGTGCCTTCTTACAGTGGAGCTAAGAGCCACCGTGCTTTTTTGGTCATCATTTGATACTTTAAGAGCATTATTCTGAAGACGTCTCAAAACAGTGAATGTCCGCCTTCTGTTTTTGCTCAAAAATAGAGTTTTTACAGTTAGAATTATTATTTTTGTAATAAAATCTGTAGCTTCAGAAGCCAAAGAACCAGCTGGATAATATGAACTCCCTTTTTAAGCTCTACCCGTACTCATTTAATGGTCCTCAATACTTTTTTAACCCTCTCTGTTACCCTCCATCTGACCTTTAAAACAAATATCTTTAAGATGCAGAGGAAGAGAAACAACCGTGCAGCTCTTAAAAGTGCAAAAAAAATTTTTTTGTTCTAAAATTGAGCAGATTTTAGTATCTTCATATGTGTAAATAACACACTGCCTGAGAGTTGCACATGATTTCTCTGCAGTGCTGTCGCAGTGTCACAGTCTTCAGTGGAGACTTTTGTTTCTGTCCCAGGGATCCAACAGAGCCAATGCCCTGTGCTTGCAGAACAGCGGCTGTTTCTCCGTAGTACTCGTAACACTTGTTTTCCAATTAAAGAACAATCATTGTTTTGTTTAAATTCCAGGAAACTTGGAACAGCTGGGCAAAAACTCGGAGGCTCCGCTGTCCTTTGCCATATAAAACATGATCCCATGGACCCTGGTGGATGCTTCACACTAACCTCAGCAAACGTGGGGAAGTGCCAAACCGTTCTCTGCCGGAATGGGAAACCTCTGCCTTTGTCCAGGTGTTACGTGATGAGTTGTGAAGAAGAGCTGAAGAGGATTAAGCAGCATAAGGCCATTATCACAGAGGTTAGAGAACAATTTGGGACTGTTGCAACTTGCAGCTTCCTTTGGAGGGTGTTTGCACAGCAATGCATGAAATTGCATGTCGATGTTGGTAACCTATAAGAGGTGGTGTTAATGGCATGGGTTCCTGAGTTGCACTTTTCCTTTCAAGGTGGTTCATATCATGCAATCAAGCTGCTTTTCCATCCTATTGCTGTGCTGGATTTTGGTTAGCTTCAGAGAGAGAGCAACTGTGAGCATGTTGCATTGAAATAGGAAAGCAGCCAGCCTCCTCCTAATGGGGAGGGGATTTGCTGTGTTGGAGCTGTCATGAAGAGCCTCTGCAATTGAAGAGGATGAGAGGGCAGAGCACTTGGAGCAATGCTGTCCTTCCCTTAGGAGACTCCTTGCTCCTGGCAGGCTGATTTTGCTGCCTGAGCTCCTGCGTTCCAGAGCTGCCCTTTGACAGGTGGCTCTCGAAGAGTGCTCTTGCCCAAAAGGAAAACCCATCCTGTGCTCAGCAGAACCATGGGAGAGGAGAAAACTATTTGTTCCCTTTGTACAAGCTTGAAGCCACCGCTGTCAGCTTTGCTTTGCCTTCTGTGACACGTGCATAGGAATAGATAAAGACTGAATCCTCCTGATGGTGGGGGAGAGGGCGGAAAGCCCACTGCTGTTGTACGCCTGTGAGCAGGGGGGTGTCAGAGTGGGGGTGTGTGAATCAGCCACGTGCCTGTCGACCTTGCCAGTGAAAGGTGACGACTGGGATCTCAAACGTGACGAGCTGGGAGTCACTCCAACATAGTGTGCCTCACCAAGGCACGCTCGTTGTGTTGTTCCATAGAGGAAGAGGGAAATTTCTGCACTGAACCTTAAGATGACTCACTGATTTCATGCACGTTGATGGCTTATCACTGCTGTCAGCCTTCTAATGGGGAAGTTAACAAGCCAACAAGGTTTTTTTTTTTCTTCTGAGTGGTTTTAAAGGGGAAGCTTTTTTTAGTCTTGGTTCACTTTTCTGTCGTTATCTACTTTGTGATAACCACTGTAGTCATCAGCTGGACCAAATGAGTGTAAATCCTCACCTTTGTTCTTCTCAAACACGCAATTAGCAGGGTGCAGCTATCCCCAGCAGGCTGACAGATAGCCAGGCTTGCTGTTTCAGACACTTGCTCTGCTTATTCTGGCAGCTTAGATTCTAACCAGAACAGGATCCGGGGATTTGGACATGCATGAGATTTACTTCCCAAATACGTCCATTTTTACCGATGTTTTCCCTTCAGATATTATTCCTCTTCCCCTTGGAAATGTCATATCTAAGTGGAAACGTAGTAAGTAATTGGGGCATGCAAAACGTTTCACTACAACTCAGCTGACTGAGAAATGCAGACTTGCTCTCCGCTGCATTTGACTCGCACGCTTCATTTAAAGTCTTTTTTTTTTTTTTTAAAAAAAGAGCTTTTGTTCCGAAGCGAGGAGCCAAGATGAAACCTAGGATTGCTGCAGCTGCAAGAAGAAGAGTCCAACTGAACGACCTGCCCCTATATCAAATGGAGCTGTGTGTGGCTTTGCCCTGTACAGAGCCAGATACCGTGGGTGGAGGAGGGATAAGCCTGACTCACTGGTAGAACATTAGTCCAGTTGGCTCTCGCAGCTGCAGGAGCAGAATAGATGGCTCTTTGTTGCAGACTTCTGCGTTGTTGGTCTGCGCATAGGTGATGCTGATGACAGCTCGGTAGGGTGTAGGGGGCGTAGCGCAGGATTGCAACCCAGCCGTTGCTGTGCTCTCATCCCAGCTCTGTCACCTCCTTGCGCGTCACTGTGCTTTTCCGTCTTCTTGCCTGTAATGGCAGTGTTGGGGGTGCTGCGAAAACAGCCATCAGCAAAACGCGAGGAGATGTGGGCGCTGTGTGTCCTTGTCTGCTTACTTTCCAATTTCCTGTCCTTTCTAATTTTAGGATGGCAAAGTGAACGGTGTGACGGATTCGACGAGAATCTTGGGGTACACCTTCCTTCACCCAAGTGTCGTGCCTCGTCCTCACGTCCAGTCCATCACCTTAACTCCACAAGATGAGTTCTTCATTCTGGGGAGCAAGGGGCTGTGGGACAGCCTCTCGATGGATGAAGCAGTGGAGGCAGTCAGAAACGTGCCTGACGCCCTGGCAGCCGCCAAGAAGCTTTGCACTTTGGCCCAGAGTTACGGCTGCAACGACAGTATCAGCGCCGTCGTGGTTCAGCTCAACGTGACGGAGGACAGCTTCTGCTGCTGCGAACTTAATGGGGTCCCACCCCCCAGCCCAGGCATCTTCCCCCAGTCTGTCAACGTGGTCATCAAGGACAGGCCAACAGACGCCCTTGGGATGCCGTCTTCGAGCAGCGGCATGGCTTCGGAGATCAGCAGCGAGATCTCCACCTCCGAAATGAGCAGTGAGGTGGGGTCCACGGCCTCCGACGAGCCTCCCCAGGTAGCCATGAACGAGAACAGCCCGGCCTACCCGGGGGAGCAGCGCTGCATGCTGCACCCCGTCTGCCTGTCCAATTCTTTCCAGCGGCAGCTTTCCAGCGCCACCTTCTCCAGCGCCTTCTCCGACAACGGCCTTGACAGCGACGACGAGGAGCCCATCGAAGGGGTCTTCACCAACGGCAGCCGCGTGGAAGTGGAGGTGGACATCCA